AAACGAGTCGAACACGAGCAAACAAAGAGTTGTTCTTGTCCGACCTTTTTATAATTTGAAGTTTAAAAATTTATTTGTGTTGGGCTTATTTAATTTGGGAATGAGGCGAACACCCAGCAGGAGCTATTCGTGAACAACGATTTTTTTTTTTACACGCCTAAGGCCAATTTTCCCCTCTGAGATATATGTGTGGGTGTGTGAGGAGACGGGAGAGTAGGAGTATCCGGTGTGCTCAGGAGAAAAAGTGGGAATGGAGTGCTGCGAGAGTAGTAAGGGGATTCCGCTCTGAACAAGGGAAGTGCGGCTGGGACTTATCTAAGGGAGAAGATGTTGGAGAGAAATTAACGGATGTATTGATTTCTTAAAATTAAGTTTTGGAGTGGAAGCTACATAAAATATAAATAAAGATGTTTGCGGTGTTGCCATGGACGTAAAAAGCCCTTCCTTTCATAAGGACGCAACAGCAGGCTTAGTTCCTAGTGGCGCAAATGGAAACCCCTCAAGCCAAATGCCAGCAAAATCAGGTAAAACCCTAAAAAGAGCCCTTCCCTTCTACATAGGCCACTCCACTTGATCAAGATATATTATAATTTCCTGTAGTAAATTCTTAAATGGCTCTCCGTTCAATTCAATCGCTCACAGGAGATTCATATAGATTGCAACGTGCAAGACCAGAGAAAGTGCGTGCTTACTCTGTGCCTCCCCTCTCTGGACGAGAAGGATCCCTTGTTCTTAGAGAAGAAGGTAAAACTGGATGCAGACTACAGAATAAAGATGCTTCTTTTGTTTTTGCAAGCATTTTCTGCCTCTTATTTATGCTTGTGCGGGAACTAAAAATGGTCAACGAGGTAACTTTTCTTTCATGATTCCAGGCGAATGCAATCAGGGAAAAAAATTTTGCTCTAGATATCCGGATTTAAGATTTTTACCACCTTACCTTTACATGAAGAAGGCGTGTTTCACTTTTTAAAAGTTGAAATGGTGGCACTCTTGTTGTGATTTGAAACAATATTTGGGTGGTAAAAATGTAAAAATTAAAGCTTAGGTGTTAGATATGTAAATACATAGGCGTTAGATATGTAAAGATACGCAATTCAAAACGTGTCTTGCTCACCTCAGTTACCCTCATCGAAAATTTTCCTTGGAGACTGACTTGAACTTATACTTCTGATGCTTTGTGCTACCTCACTTTCTTTTATTGCTTTAGTTTTTACTATATTTAATAATTTGTACTGCATTGCCGAATTTTGTCATGAATCATAATCTAGTGAATGCAATTTGTAGATGTTTTGAATTCATGTGATAAAACCCTGATGCTTCTGAGATGAAGCTTATCAAATGCTAATTTCAATGATATGTACTATTGCTAACCTTAGCATTGAAGCGTTTGAATATATAAAAACTTGCTTATAGTGGCTATCATCAAGAGAGTTAACATAAGTGCACATTTTTCTAGATTCTTAGACTAATTGTAAGGTTCTAGTCATTGGTTGTCATTTAGCCTTTCAAAAGGTATCAATACATTTTCCCCTTGGCATGCTTGATGGGGCATGATGGTAGACTCGATAACTTTACTCATGAGTTGGTAATTAGGGTAGCATAAGTTAATAACCAATCTATGTTGTCTTCCCCAACCCTTATCTAGAGGGTTCATATTCTTAGTAAACCTTAAAATAACTGGGGAAATTTTCGCTTAGAGTTTAAAAACTCATCTCATATTATGCGAGGTGTTGTCTTCTTATCCCATCCTATCCCATATAAAGCTAAACCTCACACTTTTATACTTCTTTGTTCAACTTCTATGAGGTCACCCATCTTGCAAGTGCTCCTCCATTAACACACTTAACTATGGAGTTCCTAAAGAAAATTTATGACACCAATCTAGGATTCCTAGAAGGCATTTAAGAATTGAAGTGTTTATTGGGGACGTAGTAGAATGGCAATAATTAAGGATTTGAGGGGAAAAAAATGAATTAGAGATGGAAAAAAAGAGTTCAGCTCAGGTCCAAGTTAAATCAGCAGGGAACACATCATGATTACGATATCGAAGAGGTATGATTTTCGAAGAGGATCCATCACTTATTTTCTTCAAGATACATATTAAACAATTGAAGATAAATAGGTTACAACTCTAAAAATAGGAGAAATATGGAGAAAAGTTTCCAAATAATATCAATCAAAGCAAAAGTCCCAAAATCAAGAAATAGCAACATATAGTCCCAAACAAAATTAAACATAATTTTAATTCAATAAAAAAATAAAAACATGGCCCAAAAGGATTGGTGGCCACATAGGCTCGAAAATTTCCTTTAAATTCCTTGAGGGGTGGGAATTCTACTCCTCGCATGATCCCTGTACGCGGGAGATGATGGGATCCCGTCCTTGCATTCTTACATCACTTGGGGTGCTCTCGCATCACTCCACTTGCCATTGCTAGAAAGCACCTGACGAGCTAGGAACTAACTCTTATGTAGATCAACCACTTTGTGTCCCTTTATGATGTTCGCTCTTTTAGAAACTCATCATGAGTTGCT